TCAGGTAAGATCGACCAACCAATCTCTTCTTCATTCACTTTCATGCGATCCGAAAGTCCCCCTCACAATATTATCTCAAGAGATTCATCGAAACCCAGTTTCTCTTCATATCTACTATTATTTCGTTTGTCTGCCGGTATATCAGATATATGAGATGTGTTCGCCCTATTTCGGTTAAGGTTACAAGAGGACTGATAGTTGAATTCAAACCCAATGCTATGAATAGACCTTACCTTCCTCCGGATGGGAAACGTAAAGCGAAGTGTTAGGCATAGTACAGTGCTTCTGTAGGAGAATTAGAATGTGGCTCCTCAAACCGCTTTTGGCCAATTTGGGATGTTTTAAGCTCTTATTCTAGGCATAACTGACCAAAGCCAGAAGCAGACAGCTACAGGAATACACACGCGTTGTGTGGGGACGATCTTGGATCGTATTTTGTCCTCACCTGGAGAAATCGTCTGCCCAATTTGTAGCCGTTGAGAGCGTTGATCGCCAACACTGTCTCCTCGTAGTTGGTCATCGTGACAAATCCAACGCCTCGACACGCTCCAGTGGCAGGATCTCTGATCACCCTGACAGCCTGTATGGCACCGAAAGGGCTGAACAACTGCCATACAGCAGCATCGTCCAGTTCTGGTGCCAGATTTTGCACACACAGGCACCAACCGGAGGCTGTCAACGCGCCAGCATTGGCCAACAAAGCGGGTGCTGCCAGTTGTTGGGCGGTTGGGGGCAGATCTCGCAGAGCCGTCTCCACCAGACTTGCGGATGTCGGCTCGACAGGCATGGATTCTGCGGGTGGAGGCAGAAACGATGAGGATGAAGAGCAGGAAGAGGAAGACGAGGATGAGGCTAGTGCAGGCTGTGTCTGTACTGCAGGTGGGAATGCTGGAGCTGGAGACTGTGGCAGCGTCATGGGAAGGGTGGTCGTGTATGCCGGCCAGGCAGGCATCATGAAACCGAGGCCCGGGCCATGACAGGGCAGATGTTTCCTCATCTCCCAGACCGGTAGTTTGGCCCGAGGCGGTCTTACGCTGGGCCCGGACTGACAGGCCTCCTCTTGGAGGACAAAGTTGTCGGCGGCCGACGACCTCTGGTATCCGGGGCAATGGGGCCCTGCCAATGCCGGTCTCAGACCGACGGCCCTATGATAGGGCATATAGTTGGCATTGCAGTAGACCTGATGTTCTCCACTCGTGTGGCAACTGGACTCGCTGTTGCCGGGCGGAGTTGTGTGCGACTGGCCGTCCAAAAGGGTCACCGGCAAGGCCTCGGATCTCAACTCGTGGCCAAGTTGAAGGCGGCTGAAGGCGTCGGATGGAGGCAGGATTGAGTCGGACTTGAATGCGGCTGAACGACTGGCTCGAGCCCAGTCTAACCGGGCCGCTGGACCGGTGCCAGTAAGTGAATTGACCAGACTAGGCCCTCCCGAGGCCCGACGAGAGGTGTTTGTCGTGATGGTCGGCTGCTGATGAGGTTGGTGCTGTTGTTGCGGATGATGGTGATGATGGTGGTGATGGTGATGATGGTGATTTTGATGATGATGGTGTTTCGAGGCCTGTCTCTGACGCTGTCCGTTTGACTGGCCAATCAGCAGCTGAGCCTGTAACTGTGGCGTAGAGGGCGGCACCGAGTGGGGAGAAGATGACCTCGACGGGTGGGCGGGTAGCATTGCCACTTCGTCAACTTCACTGCCCGTCAGAACGGGCAAAGGTGCATCGACGAGCATCTGCCTCGGCAACACCATTCTGGAGGCATGTACAGGCGGGCCGACCGGCCCAGAGCTGGGCTCTTTGGGTAGTCCGGCGCCAGTTTTCTGCTGGTCAGGAGGCCTCGAATCCGAGGCCGTGCATTGAGGCGGGGTGGGGTGAGAGGAGGGCGGTGTGTGCATCGGGTCATCAGTAATCGAGGTCAGTTGAACCGTCGTCAGGTCAGAGGTCATTAAGCCGTGACGGAGGGCTGTCGAGTTGTGCAGTCTGACGGCGTTGTGGTCTGCCAACGGCATGGCAACCGCCGGTAGACAGGTTGGTGAGTAGATGCTGAGTCTAGTGCCATTTCGGTTCGTCGGTTGCCCGGCCAGTCCGACGGTTGCTGTCGTCGTTGTTGTCGTTAGGCCGCAACTGGTGGAAGAGTCGCCTCGTCCGAGGGCAACAGGACCTGCGGATCGTAGGGTCTGAAAGCTGGCCGCCTCCAGACTGTGTTTGTTGGCCAGACTTGGGGAGCTGGCGAATTTGACGGTGATCGGCTCATTGGCGCCGGGCGGTACGAAGCCGTTGAGTCGACGGATGGCCGCCTCGGCTTCGGAGCGCTGATCGTAGCGAATAAAGGCAACGCCTCGAGACAGATTCGTCTTGGCGTCGTGGAGAATACGAGCCGTGATGATGTGGCCGCAGAGGCCGAACAACCGACTCAACTCGGCCTGTGTCATTCGTTTCGGCAGACCGCAAATGTATAGATTTGCGCCTTTAATCGCCTCCGAACTCGGCCGTGCAAGCGACACTTTGACGACTTTATTTTGTAGCCGAAGTCCGTTCAGGTTACGTATCGCCTTGTTGGCGTCGGAGGGCGTGTAGAACTTGACAAAAGCGTAGCCCAGACTCTCACCGGACACCTTTTCGCGCACCAACTTGCAACTCTCCACCTCGCCAACCGTAGAGAAAAGCGCCCGTACAGCCTCCTGGTTCATGTTAGGCGGCAGATAGTTGACGATCAGGTTGGTCCGATTCACCTCCGTCGTCCTGCCCGACTGGCCCAACCGGCCGGCCTCGAGTATCGCCTCCGTAGCATCGGCGGCGGCTAGTCCGACCTCTTCGTCCTGTCCGCCGGACTCCGTCTTGCTGCCCGAGTCTGACGGACCGTTCGTCTTCATCCCGCCTCAGCGCTTTGTAGATGGCCTCTCTGAGCTTAAGTGACCGGGCTGGAGAAGGAGGCCACAACAGACGACTGGTCTTATCGGCTTCATTTGCCCGACTCGGAGGGCAGTCCTCTCCATCACGGCCATGTATGTGGCCCATTTGTCCATCGATCCAAATTTAAACTCATCTCAGCTGATAAACATGCATGCTTCCCACCATCACATGGAAAGGCAAAACGAAGAGGTACTGGGCCTACAAATAATTCCTTGACAGATTCATGCTAGATACGAAGAGAAACTTGATTTCGATGAATCTCCTGAGATAACATTGTTAGGGGGACCTTCATTTCGA